TATATATAACTACCACTAACTGCTACTGATGCTTTAACTTAACAGATGTGTACAACTGTCACTACTAACTAACTAACTGACTGCTAACTTACTAACTAACAGCTTTCACTCTTCAACGGAAATATTGTACTTGAGTTATAAAATAATAGTACATGTTCCTAAAACTAATAAATATTGATCCTATATACATCACTCAATAAGATAAGAAACTGCCACAAGAGAAGTTCTCAATCATTAATCATTACCTTCAACTAAAAATTGTTTAATATTTTAATTTTATTTTATACTAAATAGATATAAAGTAGTGGTTGAGACGTATCCTATTAATCATTACAAATTCATACAAAAAAATATCTTTCTCTTTTATCTTTGTAATTTTAAAATTCATTAGGTAATGAAGTATCTCTCATCTTTAAAATTTGTAATTTCGATTCATTAGGTAATGAAATATCTCTCATCTTTATATTTCGATTCATTAGATAATGGAAGTATCTTTAGATACATTTTGTTTATCTTACTTCAATAAATAGTTATGATTAAATATAATTGTAATTATTATTGTTTCACTATATGTAAAGCCTTGTTACATAATCTATCAATATCCTTTTATCAGTCTAGTCTGTATAGCAAATTTAGGAATAAAATTTAATTGAGCGTTTGTTTTGACAAGACCTTTTATCAGGTTAAAACATATTTAAAATAAACATGACATTTAGAGTTCGAAAATTCAATGATCAATACAAAAAAAAAGAGGAAAAAAACACACAAAATAAAAAACAAAAAAGAAAAAAGAATACACATATTATCCTCACTTAAGTGCTTCAAAGAATCTGGAGAACATATAGACGTTAATGAATTAATAAACCATAACAAATAGAGAATCAACGAGCAAATAAATTCTATAATGAATACGTCTTCACGTATCAATATTTTGAAGACACAAAGATTCTATATGAAAAATACACAAGAGTTTAATATAGACAAAAAATCAATTTTTCACTTCATATCAAAGGAAAACTAAAGATACAAAAAAAAAGGCCGAACCTTCGAACCTGATTAAGAACCAAATGATCAGTACTGATGATTTAGTTGAAGGAAACCAACTCTAACTTGCGATAAGAGTACATGTATTAGTTTTATATGTTAGACTTTGATGTGGACTCAACAATAGATCTATCAATCTCCAATCACATTATAAGGCGGTGCAAAATATTCCGTAATTTTTGTCAAATTGATACTACTTGATGGAGTTATTTTTGTACTAAATTGTTCACAAAGGCAACATTTATGTAGAATTTTATTTTTGGTTAGGGATTTATTGTGCCAAATGGAGAAAAAAAGACTTCAAAACGTCTAAACCTAAAAGAACACTAATTATTAGAAAAAAAATTAAATATCTAATCTTAAATATTAGGAAAATAATTAAATGCCTACTCCAAAATATTAGAGAAATAAGTAAATGACTATTTTGTCTAGTGCAAGATCTATTTTTAATGGGTCAAAAAGGCGAACGACATTTCGCTAAGGGCCTTCGTGCTTTTAATATATATATATATATATATATATATATATATAACATTTAGGTTTTGTCGATATAAAAAGTTCGTAAAAACATTTATAGTAAGTAAAATCAATTTTTTTTTATAATCATCTAAATTTGATATATATTGATGCAACTATTTCAGGTTCGCACACACCACGTAGGGTCAATTAAATGAAAAACGTTACTATTTACCAAGGGTTTCTCCATTTCTAGAGTTCGAAGTTGAATCATCTAGCTAAAGGTTAGAAGATAAGACAGAGAATAAAGTATTTTTTGTTACAGTTTTGACGCCTAAAAAAATGGAAAAAAGATACCAAATTTAACATACAACTTGGCCTCATTTGTTTTTCTTAAGATTAATACGTCTGAATCTGAATACATATCTGAATATCAAGATGTATATTAAGATTAAGACATATGAATCTGAATATACATCTGAACATTAAGATGTGTCTTAAGATCTGAATACTAAATGATTAAGACTATTTATTTTGTAACATCTGAATATATAGAATTTATCTTTATTTAAAAAATAATAAACATAAATTCAAATAAAATACTAAAATCTAATATATATATATATGGTAGGTGTTGGTGATGGCTAACAGAGGTGCTTGTGAGTGCTGACTAGAGGCGGTGATTGGTGGTGCTTTTGGTTGATGGTGGTGGTTCTGGGTAGTAGCTAGTGGTGTTTGGTAGCGATATTGATTATGATTGAGGATGGTGGTGGTAGTTGTGGTTGTGATTGAGGAAGGTGATAGTGGGTGGTGGTAGTTTATAATGGTGGGTGGTGCCGACTATGGTTATTGATGGTGATAGGGTGGTTGTTGGTGGTAGTTGAGGTGGGTGAATGTGTGGTTATGGTTGAGGATGATGATGGTGGTAGTGGTGGCGGCTATATTTGAGAATGGTGGTGGTGGTAGTTAATAATGGTAGGCGGCGGCAGTTAGTAATGAATATGGATGATAGCATCTTAATAAAATTAAGTCTTTGTTATAGATCTTAATCATTCAGACATATTCAGACCCATTAAGTGGTTGTGAAGTAAAAAAAAAATACTTAATGATTAAGATCTGAATGATTAAGATTCAGATTTTAAAAATAAATGGACTTAATGTGTGAGGTCTGAAGTGCAAACAAATGAGCCAATGTGTTAAAATGTATTTAAAGTTGAAGTTGAAATAGTCAAATACTTTTAATGAACAAATGAGTTATTCTAATATATCATTTTGGTCGATACCCCATTTAACCCGGGGGATTTTAATTTTTAAGACACTTTAAAACTTATATCAATTTTTAATACAAAAGTGTTAAGAATAGGGTTGAAGGGATACTTTTGTGATTAGTGTTAATGACATAATTTTTAAAATGGCGAAGGTCCAAATATACCCCTGTACTTTCGAAAATAGTCTAAGAATACCCCTCGTTATACTATTGGGTTATCTATACCCCTGCAGTCATACTTTGGGTTCAAATATAACCCTCATTTAAACGGAGGGACACGTGTCATCGTCCTATTGGCCAATTCTAAATATCTCCTAATTAATTAAAAAAACTCATTACCCATACCCGAAAAGCAATTTTCTAAAGCAATATTTTTTTGTAAAAACTGGAAAAAACTAACATTTTTTTTTACTAAAAACTGAAAAAAACGAAAATATTTTTTTCCCAGTTTTTACAAAAAACATTGCTTTAAAAAAAATTGAAAAATATTTTCTAAAATAATATTTTTGTAAAACTAAAAAGAAAACTGAAAAGCAATTTTCTAAAGTAATTAAAAATGGAAAAAACTGAAATTCTTTTAACTAAAAACTGAAAAAAAAATATTTATTTTTTCAGTTTTTACAAAAATATTGCTTTAAAAAATTGCTTTTCAGTTTTTTTTTAGTTTTTACAAAAAAAATTGACTTAGAAATTATTTTTCAGTTTTTTTAAAGCAATATTTTTCTAAAAACTAGAAAAAATTATTTTCGATTTTTTCAGTTTTTAGTAAAAAAAAACATTCAGTTTTCAGTTTTTAAAAAATATTGCTTTAGAAAATTGCTTTTCAGTTTTTTTTTTCACTTTTTACAAAAATATTATTTTAGAAAATATTTTTCAGTTTTTTTTTGTAAAAACTGGAAAAAAAAATATTTTCAGTTTTTACAAAAATAAAAATGCTTTAGAAAATTGCTTTTCGGGTATGGGTAATGTGTCTTTTTAATTAATTAGAAGATATTTAGAATTGGCCAACAAGACGATGACACATGTCCCTCCGTTTAAATGAGGGGTATATTTGAACCCAAAGTATGACTGCAGGGGTATAGATAACCCAATAGTATAACGAGGGGTATTCTTAGACCATTTTCGAAAGTATATTGGTATATTTGGCCCTTTGCCGTTTTTAAAAACCCCAAAGTTTTTTTATTTATAAAAAGGTCCTCCTCCTCCTCCTACTACTCCTCCTCCTCATCCCCTTGTTCCTCTATCTCGCAACGCTCCTCTCTATCCTTCCCTTGCTCCTCCATCTCGCAACGCTCTTCTTTATCCTCCCACTCCTAATCCTCAAACATTTAGGAAGATGTTTAAAATATTTAGAGAAATGTTTCAAACATCTACTGAGATGTTTCAAACATCTACTGAGATATTTCAAAATATCTGCACAGATAATACATCTGTGGAAAAAAGATCAAACATCAAAATGAAAGAAACAGAAGAAATATTCCGTGGATGTTTCAAACATCACGGGGATGTTTCAAACATTCCGAGAGATATTTGAAACATCCACGGAGATTTTTCAAACATCCCCGGGATGTTTTGCATAATACTCATTTATGAAAATGTCTCAAAATATCTCGAGGGTATTTTACAGAATACTCACTTTGTAAAATTTCATATTTTTCTCTTTTTCTCGTATATTTTAAACCACTAAGAAAAAAGGAAAAATAAAAAAAGAAGAAGAAGATGAAAATGAGATGAAGAGGGAAAGAAGAAAAAGACAAGGAAGAAAATGAAGAAGAAAAAGATGACATAGACGAACCATCAGCAACAACGAAAGTTGAAGAGAAAGAAGAAACTAAGGAAGAGAATGAGAGAATGAGGAAGAAAAAGAAGAAAGAAGGAAGAAAGAAAAGGAGGAAAGAGGGAAAGAAGACCGAAATGAAAATTTGAAATAATTTGAATGAATTTAATTTTTTAAAAATTTTAATATTTATGCACAACTTTTATTATTTTTAATCTTATCCTAAAGCCCTTTAATTACGTATGTTTTGTTTACATATGTTTTGTGTTCTAAATTGTTATACAACACTTCAAAATCTTTTTTACCTCATCCTCCCATTTAACCCTCAGTTCCGCTTCCTACTTGACTGAATCTGCCGCCATGGAAGGGGATATCTACACATCTAACTGCAGAATTGTTACATAAACACTTGTGGGAATGCAGAGGAGATATAATGGTTCCCTTCTCAAATATTCCAGGTCCAATTTTCTCTTCCAAAATTCTAAAATAACATAATCTGACCTTACCTTTTTTACGTCATTGACTAAAAGTAGTTCATGAACCAGGTCAACTTAGAGTTTTCTGTCTTTTTCTTCTGCCTCAGATTCTGTATCATTTGTAGTTTAACAAGTATGCTTTTGAGTTGCAAATAACTTTTGAGCTAAAAATTTCATTTTTATGGATAGCTAATTAATTAACCAATATGCTGTTCTTGAGACATGAGCATCCTTTTCTCTGTGGATTTTCCTCTAAAAGCTCCATTTGTTTCTCAGTTGGCAATTTGCAAATTTTGCTAGATATTTTAAATTATGCTTGTGGCATCTTAAATGGGTCTGTAAGTATTGGTAAGTGATGTTCTGTTCCTATTCCTCTGAAATCTTTCGTTTGCCCACCCGAAAACCTTGATGAAAATTGAAAACAGAGGCAGATGCTTCCTTATTTATTGGGTTCAACTTCTGAACCCAGTAATTTCAACATGGAACATAAATATAAGTGGAAAAGTAATAGAATTTCAAGAAATATTGAATTAAAAATCTATAATTACAAAAGTGCAATGAATTCATAGTAAGAACTTAAAGATTGAACCATCATATCTAAATTTTTTAGCCGCCTCTTGATAAAAATATTACGGCCAAGAGTGACAAAGTTATAATATAATGTGATTTAACTAACCCTAAAGCTAGGTCATCTCTGTACAATCTCTTGTAGGGCCCTATTCAATTGTGTTCATTATTATTGTAGCAGCTATATGTATCATCTCTCTCGGTTGTCCCTATGATGGTTTCATGAACTGGAGTTCCAGGTTCTGGTGTAGAAAACCCTTCCTCTGCAAGGGATGCTCCTAGGCTGTCGGAAATTCTGATTTCTGGGCTTTGCGAAGCAAGATCGAGCAATATTTCAGGGGAAGCTGCACTTGCTGCGAATGGTGTAGCCGTTTGGCTCACATTGCCTTCTGGCTTTTCTGACTTAGAATTAGAGTTATCTATCTCTTCATCAAAGACTTTTGCTATTACAGAAAGCTTTTGCAATATTGAATCATCAGTGGCTAAGATTTCTCTATTCTGATAAAGGAAGATGAAGAAAAATATGAGAAGAGCGGAACCTGCAGCTACACCCGCTATGAGAAAAAGGCCCTTAAAACTATCTAGTGTGAGGCTATCAGATGTTATAGCCATTCCATCTTTCTCTGGACAATCTGTTTCATTCCCAAACCATTTCTGTATTATGTTATTCATAAACTCTCCCTCCATCACCTTCAGGACTGCTCTTGAGACGTCAGGTACCAAAGGAGATCCTTTTGGAAATGCCTGCATGAAATTATGGAGAAAAAAGTATGGATCAGATTGAATAAAATACAAACCATTCTAAACAAATATAAACACGTTCCAAAACACCATTGGAGTGCGAGAATCTTACGAATCCAAAGCCGGCAGCCTTGTAAGTTGGACCGACCATAATATACTTCTTGCAGTACTTGTTAAGGAAGAGTCTGAGATAAGGTAGTTCATCAACAATTGCACCAACTCCTCCATTTTTACTTCCACTTGAGAGGGCATCATTGTACTCTTCCAATGTGCTATAACTTCTAAACTTGGAGCTATCAAAATTCATGCGCTTCAAGACGTCTTTGACAAAGGAACCTTCTTGGTACCCAACATATTCTCCATTTGTTATGAGATCATTTAGGTTTGTTATAGTAGGTTGGAGCTGTTGCACTGTTAACATAGATGTTAAGTTGGCTGTATAACTTGATGTCAGCACCAGCACCACAAAAACCCACACAATCATCACGAATCTTGTTAAGTTGCTTGTTACCCTCTCTCCTGCAGCAACCAGCCATATCATTTGTTGAGAAACAAGAAGAATGTAAAGCTTTCATGTGTACTGTGCTTTAAGTAAGAGACTTACTGTGTGCAAAAACGAGAGTTGAGAAGGAAAACCAGAATATCATCCCAACTTGCTTGTGTTTGGGTCCTCGAAACTCTTTGTTTACACGATGCTCGAGTACCCAAACCACAAAACCAATGAAGACAAAGAATGCTCCAGTTGTTATCCAAAGTTCGGTCTTTAGAGGTTTCAAGAAAATCCAAGCATTCTTCCTCTCATCATCCCTTACTGGCACAACTGCAGAAATACCTGACTCCGTGAAAGGTAATGTGAAATCCACATACTTGGATCGGTTCGCTAAAATGGTCACATCACCTATAACTGCATCATATTCCTGGTTCAAGCAAACAATGTTTATTGCAGTAATTATGGTGGGTCAAAAATCTGAAAGTAGATAAGAAAGTCCCAAGAAGGAGCATGTGAATAACGTATTCAACCAAAGACGTTAATTCAAACAAGGATTATATATTACCTTGGAAGAGATCTTGTAAATAAGATCATCATAGTCTGGAAGAGTTTGGGTATCTGGTATTCGAAATGGAATAAATTCGTAAGTGACAGCAAATGGCAAAGATTGGATGACTTCTTTGAAGACATCTGCACAGAAACCAGTTGCGGTTACTGCTTGTGTTTTTGAATCTATTTCCACTTTGATGAATTGCTCCAAACCTCCTTTGACAGGAACTCCAACCCTTAACTTCTTCCCACTTGTGGGCATCTCCCAGCCTCTCGGAACAATAGTAGATTCACCCGGCCAAATGATGGTACCTAGTTGCTTATTATTACTCTTAGCTGTTTTCCCATTCATAGTCAGTTTATATGAAATTCCATCACTCTCTGTCCAGAATCCAATGCTTCTCTCCCCTTTCCCAATTATGTTCACAATCTGATATGGGGATGGCTGCAATTCTCCATCAATGATACGGAAATCACCACTCAGTCCTCTTTTTAGGGATGTGTTTTGCAGAGTGTGAATGAGCAAAGATCCCAATTCTGAGGTTCCAAGTGCATCCAAGTCCGATAACTTCTCTTTAGTGTCTGGTTTCTTGACTTCTGGGATGACAGTTGTGCCCACATTCTGTACTGCTTTTGCTAAGACGGTAATGCTATCATATGCCCACAGCCCGTAAACATTGAGTTCAACTTGGTCCATGTTTGGATACTCTCGACGAAATCTCTCTCTCCATCTCTTGGTGAAATTGTTAAGCTCGTTTGATCTTGGAAAGTAAGGCTTTACACCAAGAACACCTTGCATTGATGACTCAATCACTGAAGGATCTACCGAGTCTAGAAGACTCGTTAGCACATCCGTGATGATCCATGCATATCCACTGCTCATCATCCCAGCTTCTTTGGCCTTGAAGAAAAGGCGAGAGGCAAGAAATGATTGCAAGTGCACGATGAACACCCTCGTCTGCATTGTATTCAACTTGTATAGCTCCCTGAGGATTTGATCATCATTGGCTGAAGGAGAAATAACACTTCTATAGGAGATTAATGTGCTAATTTCCAGTAAAGCATCAGTCAAATGTGGAACTATCCCCGTTCCAAAGGGGCTATCCTCATAGATGATTACAACCTCCCTCCACTCATAGTTTTTAACAATTGCTGCTATGGCTTTAGTCTGGCTGGAAGAAGGAAGTGCTGCTCTGATGAAGTAGGGATTTTCTTTGACTGAAAGTGAAGGACTTGTTGCTGGAGAAATGACAGGAGCCTTTACTTTGTTCCCTATGTCAATCACAAAATCAGTTTGTGTAGACATTTGTGGCCCAAAGATAGCTTGTACTTGGACATCCTTTAGCAAGTATATGGCTGCACATACACAATTAGACTGTAAGATATTTTCTGAACATCCCTTTCAAAATAGGAAAACCAAAGTGAAAATAAGAGTATCTTAGAGAAAAAGACATTATCTTGTGCAAGTAGCCATAATACCAGAGTATGTCTGACTTGTGAATCAAAGAAAGTAAGATATGCTAGTTTAAAGCAGTAAATCACGAGCTGAATTTACCTGCGGATGCTGCTTCAACATCATCTTTCTTGGAATCCCTGAAGTGAGGGACTACCCTAATGGCACTGCGATTAGCGGCATGGTAATCTTCAAGAGCTAGCAAGATACATGTGTGCATTACTTTTGCCACATTTGTTTCCAGATCAAGAATTATACCCACATCCACCTTCTTTACGGCATTAGTTTCATTTTCACCACTTATTGGCATTATGTAGTGGCAAAAGCTAATGATAGAGACAAACTGAATGAATAGAATCAGGAAGTGGCATCTTTGATTTTGCATCTGAAAAGCTCTGGTAAATATTCTAAGAGTTGGGCAACAAGCAGTTGGGGCTTTTGAAAGTAACTACGTTTCAGAGAGTGTGTAAAGCTCTCTTAATTGGGAAGCTCTGGATATATAATCATACATTTCAACCAATAATTGCCTTCGTACCTATAACAACGTAGCATGAAAAGTCAAAAATAAAGCATTCAAATAAGAGTCGTGAGAGGACTTTTAACAAGCAAGATTCCTCCTTAATTTGACCAAATCAAAAGTTGACTAAATTAACACACTGACAAAATTGATATTGGTTTGAACTTTGCGTGGTACTCATCCCTCCAATCCACAATTACTTTTGTATTCATTTGATGCCGACTATCTAGAGATATTGAATGGACTTTCCATATTTTGACAAAACGCAGAGGGAGTTGACAAATTTAGCTCAGTCAAATCGTATGAAAATTACCATAAGTAGAAGAGAACATTATTGTCTCTAGACTTAGATAACTACTATATACCAAACTATTATTTTACACGGTTTGAGTTCAGAATTGGTCAGTAGTAATTTGCTTGCACATCAAAAGTAGTGCATGGAATGGAATGATGACGCAGTTAGATGTTAGAAGTAGACTTGGTCTGTTGGGTTTTGAAGATGATTATGTATTTATGTAGGTGTCATTGGCTCACCCTAATTGTTAATGTAAGAGTAAGATATAGAAATATGACATTCTCCTGGCACCTACATTGCTAATTTTCTTTCTTATTTCATCGGGGATTTGCATTGCCCGTTTATTATAAGAATATTGCATAAACCTCTCATGTGGTTTCAAATATCAGATATCATTATTTCATACTTTATGTAACAAAACTACCTCATTTGAATTTCTTAACAAAGTATGCATCTATTGAATTATTTCATGCCACATAACTTTATTAAATCATATTTCCTATAAAATGACAAAAAGAAAAAGAAAATTTGGAAAAGAAAACCAAAATGAGAATAGAAATTTCTACTATCTTTTAAAACTTGTATTTCTCTTTAGTTTGCAACACTTTTGTTTGAGCGAATACTTTTTGTAGATATTGAATGAAATTTCATAAGATTATATGTGTGATTCACTAGATTATGATTATCTTGTTTTGCAACACAAAAGAATAAAAAGCAAAACGATGACATATTATCAATCTAATCTTTTAGCCATGTTCGGTTAAATCCATGTATAGATTAAATTGGAATAATATATAAGTACTCTTTAAATTGTCTTGAAGTTCTAACTACATACCTAAACTTTCCGGTACCCCTCAGGCCTCAATAGTGATTGAAAGAATTTGTTGTGCTAAGTCTGCAATGCAAAGAATAGAGAGACAAAAGAGGATACAAAATTGAAAAGTGATAAGCTAGTTTTTTCTTATAAGGTAAAAAAAGTGAGAAGCTAGTGAACATTGCGTTACATACTTTTGGTACGATAAAAGTGTGGTATCTTTTATGAAAAATATTTTTCATAGAATGTAATTTTTTAGAAATTATTTGTGATATATATTTGGTTGATGATTGAAAAATATTTCTTTCAAAAATTAATAATCTGAAATATTAATAATAATATCAATAAATTTCATCTTTTCTTTGCATGCTAACTCATTCAGAAGGCTAAGTCAAAAAGAGATTTAAAGCTGACTTTTAAGCCAATTCAATTGCATAAAGTTCATTTTCCTTTGCGGTATCAATTTACTAATTCCAACAAATTAATTTTAATTATTTTATATTTGGAAATAGTTAAACTCTAATATATTTTGGAGAGTTTTTGGTCAATATTGTCCCTTATCTTTGAGGGTAGGTCTATTTTGGTCCCTCAAATATATCCCTGAGCATATTTAGTCCCTTAAGTATGCTAAAGTGGAGCACCTTTAGTCTCACTGACACAATGTGTTCAAAAACTAACGCTGTTATCCAACTCTGATTCATGAAGCAAATCTTCTGCTCTGAAGCAAAAGTTTTCTCTCCTTTTATTGGATAACGCAAATTATCACTTTAATTCCTCATTTTTAGATAATGTCTTCTAAAATTTTGACCTTGAAAATATCCCCTTTTGTGCCACTTTTCAATGAGAAAATGACACTGTATAGCTGCTGTAAAAATAATAGCCGAAAAAATGTATAAATTTTGTATATTTTTTTGTATATATATATATATATATATATATATATATATATATATATATATATATATATATATACAAAACAATTTACAAATTTTATACATTTTTTCGGCTATTATTTTTACAGCGGCTATACAATGTCATTTTCTCATTGAAAACTAGCACATAAGGGGATATTTTCAAGGTCAAAATTTTAGAAGACATTATATAAAAATAAGGAACTAAAGTGATAATTTGCGTTATCCAATAAAATTAGAGGAAACATTTTGCTTCAGAGCAGAAGATTTGTTTCATGAATCAGAGTTGGGTAACACCGTTAGTTTTTGAACATATTGTGTCAGTGAGACTAAAGGTGCTCCACTTTAGCATACTTAAGGGACTAAATATGTTCAATGTTTTATTTGAGGGACCAAAATAAATCTACCCGCAAAGATAAGGGACAATACTGCTCAAAAACTCTATTTTGGACAAGAAGATTGTCTCTCTGCTACCGTGAACTAACAGCGCACGGATCTCCTACTTTCTTCCACAATCTTAAAAATAACATAATCTGATCCGTTTTTACGTTATTAATTAAGCTGTTGATGAACCAGGTCAAACTTAAAAATTTCTTTCTTTTTCTTCTGCGTCAGATTCTGTATCATTTGTAGCCTACTATGCTTTTGAGCAACAAACAACTTATGAGCTAGAATCTTCATTTTTAAGGATATTTAATCATTAACTAATAGGGTATTCTTGTGACATGAGCATCCTTTTCTCAATAATTTCGACACATAAATATATGTGGAAAGTTAGTGAAATTTCAATAATAAATATTTCAATAATTTACAGTGAATTCAATGGTAACAACTTAAAGATTAGACAAATCAAATCTAGATTCTAGAGCCGCCTCTTGATGCAAATATTATGGCTAAGAGCGACAAAGTTATAATGTAATCTGGTATAACTATATTAAAGCTAGCTCATCTCTGTACAATCTCTTGTAGTAGCAGTTATATGTATCATCTCTCCTCATTTGCCTCTGTAATGGTTTCATGAGCTGGAGTTCCAGGTTCTGGTGTAGAAAATCCCTCTGGTGTAGAGAATCCTTCATGTTCAGGGGATGCGCCTAGGCCGTCAGAAGTTCTGATTTCTGGGATTTGCGAGGCAAGATTGGGCAATATATCAGGGTAAGCTGCAGTTGCTGAGAAGTGTGTAGCTCTTTGGCTTTCATTCGCTTCTTGCTTTTCTGACTTAGCATTAGAGTTATCTTTCTCTTCGTCAAAGATTTTTGCTAGTGCAGAAAGCTTTTGCCATATTGAATCATCAGTGGCTAAGATTTCTCTGTTCTGATGAAGGAAGATGAGTAAGAATGTGACAAGAGCGGAGCCTGATGATACACCAGCTATGAGGAAAAGGCCCTTAAAACTATCTAGCGTGAGGCTATCAGATGTTATAACCATTCCATTTTTCTCTGGACAATCTGTTTCATTCCCAAACCATTTCTGTATTATGTTATTCATAAACTCTCCCTCCATCACCTTCAAGACTGCTCTTGAGACGTCAGGTACCATAGGAGATCCTTTTGGAAATACCTGCAAGAAATTGAGGAGAAACAATGGATTAGATTGATTAAACAGCAAAACCATTCTAAACAAATAAAAACACGTCCCAAAACATTACTGAGAGTGTGAGAATCTTACGAATCCAAAGCCAGCAGTTTTGTAAGTAGGACCAACCATAATATACTTTTTGCAGTACTTGTTAAGGAAGAGTCTGAGATAAGGTAGTTCATCAACAATTGCACCAACTCCTCCATTTTTACTTCCTTTTAAGAGGGCATCATTGTACTCTTCCAATGTGCTATAACTTCTAAACTTGGAGCTCTCAAATTTCATGCGCTTCAAGATGTCTTCGACAAAGGAACCTTTTTGGTACCCAACATATTCTCCATTCTTGATGAGATCATTGAGGTCTGTTATAGTAGGTTGGAGTTGTTGCACCGTTAACATAGATGTTAAACTGGCGGTATAACTTGATGTCAGCACAAGAACCACGAAAACCCACACAATCACCACAAATCTAGTTAAGTTGCTTGTTACCCTCTCTTCTGCAACCAGCCATATATATGATTTGTTGAAAAACAAGGATAATTAATGTAAAGCTTTCATATATACTTTGGTTTGAGTTAAGAGACTTACTGTGAGCAAAAACGAGAGTTGAGAAGGAAAACCAGAATACCATCCCAACTTGCTTGCGTTTAGGTCCTCGAAAATCTTTATTTACACGATGTTCGAGTACCCAGACCACAAAACCAATGAAGACAAAGAATGCTCCAGTTGTTATCCAAAGTTCGCTCTTTAGAGGTTTCAAGAAAATCCATGCATTCTTTCTCTCATCATCCCTTACAGGCACAACTGCTGAAATACCCGACTCTGTAAAAGGTAATGTGAAATCCACATACTTGGAACGGCTTGCTAAAATGGTCACATCACCTACAACTGCATCATATTCCTGGTTCAAGCAAACAATTTTAGTGCAGTATCTATGGTTGGTCTTCCTCAGCAAAAGCAAAAGCAAAAGCAGAAAGTAGATAAGAAAGTCTCAGAAAGGAGCATGTAAATAAGGGATACAGCTAAAGAGGTCAATTCAAACAAGGATTAGATATTACCTGAGAAAGGATCTTGTAAACAAGATCATCATAGTCTTGAGAAGTGGGGCTATGTGCTATTGGAAATGGAATAAATTCGCAAGGGACAGCATATGGCATAGATTGGATAACTTCTTTGAAGACATCTGCACAGAAACCAGTTGCAGTAACTGCTTGTGTTTTTGAATCTATTTCCACTTTAATGTATTGCTCCAGCCCTCCTTTGACAGGAACTCCAACCTTTAACTTGTTCCCGCTTGTGGGTATTTCCCAGCCTCTAGGAAAAATAGTAGATCCACCGGGCCAAATGATGGTCCCTAGTTGTTTATTATTACTCTTAGCTGTTTTCCCATTCATCTTCAGTTTATACAAAATTCCATCCTTCTTTATCCAGAATCCAACGCTTCTCTCTCCTTTCCCAATTATGTTAACAATTTGATATGGGGAAGGCTGCAATTCTCCATCAATTATATGGAAATCACCACTTAATCCTGTTTTTAGCGTTATGTTTTGCATATAGTCAATGAGCAGAAATCCGAATTCTGAGGTTCCAAGTGCATCTAAGTCCGTTAAGTTCTCTCTCGTGTTTGGTTTCTTGAATTTTGGGATAGCAGTAGTGCCCACCTTCTCTACTGCTTTTGCTAATGCTGTGATGCTATCATATGCCCATAGCCCGAAAACATTGAGTTCTACTGTGTCCATGTCTGGATACTCCTGACGAAATCTCTTTCTCCATCTCTTGGTGAAATTGTTAAGCTCATTTGATCTTGGAACATAAGGCTTTACACCAAGAACACCTTGCATTGATGACTCAATCACTGAAGGATCTACCGAGTCCAGAACACTTGTTAGCACATCTGTGATGATCCACGCATATCCCTTCCTCATCATCCCGGCTTCTTTGGCCATAAGGAAAAGGCGCGAGGCAAGGGATGGTAGCAAGTGCACGACGAAGACCCTGGTCTGCATTGTATTCATTTTGTGTAGCTCCCTGAGGATTTGATCATCATTGGCTGAAAGAGAAATAACACTTCTATAGGAGACTAAAGTGCTGGTTTCCAGTAAGGCATCAGTCAAATATGGAACTATCCCGGTTCCATAGGGGCTATCCTCATAGATGATTACAACCTCCCTCCAATCATAGTTTTTAACAATTGCTGCTATGGCTTTAGTCTGGCTGGAAGAAGGAAGTGCTGCTCTGATGAAGTAGGGATTTTCCTTGACTGAAAGTGAAGGACTTGTTGCTGGAGAAATGATCGGAACTTTTACTCTGTTCCCTATGTCAATCACAAAATCAGTTTGTGTAGACATTTGTGGCCCAAAGATAGCATGTACTTGAACATCCTTCAGCAAGTATATGGCTGCATATACACAATCAGACTATAAGAATTTATCTGAACATCCCTTTCAAAAAAGGAAAACCAAAGGGAAATTAGAAAACTTTGGAAAAAGGAGAATATTTTGTGCAAATATGGCATAAATAACTTTAACTATAAGAGTATATCTGACTCGTGAAGCAAAGACAGTAAAAAATTCTAGTTTAACAGAATATATCATGGAGCAGAATTTACCAGCGGATGCTGCTTCAACATCATCTTTCTTGGAATCCCTGAAGTGAGGGACTATCCTAATGGCACTGCGATTAGCGGCATGGTAATCTTCAAGAGCTAGCAAGATACATGTGTGCATTACTTTTGCTACAGTTGTTTCCATATCAAGAATTATGCCTATATCCACCTGCTTTACAGCATTAGTTTCATCTTCACCACTTACTGGCATTATGTATTGGCAAAAGCTAATGATGGAGACAAGTTGAATCAAAAGAATTAGGAAGTGGCATCTTGGATTTTGCATTTCGAAATATCTGTAAGTCCCAGAGTTGGGAAACCAGTTGTGCTTATGCAAGCAACGACTTTTCAAAGATGTGTCTAAAGCTCTCTCAAAAAGGGTTGCTCTGAATATATGGCTTCAGAATCAGGGAAATTCATACACTTCGACCGGTAAATATAATAACATCAAATCCCATAAACGTAGAAAAAGTCAAAGATAAATCAATGTTTTCAATGAAGAATTGAGTGAGGACTTTTCAGACATTCTACACCACAAGCAAGTGCGCTTTCTCCTCAATTTGACCAAATCAAAAACTGACTAAATAAACACACTGACAAAATTGGCTTGGTTGAACTTTGTGTGGTGCTTATTTTCCAATCCCAATTTCTTTTGTATTCATCTGATGCCAACTATCTAGAGGATATTGCAAAAGACAGAGGGCATTGTTTCGAGCTAGCTCAGTTGAAAATTCGACGAATTACCCCATAAGTAGAAGAAATCATTGTGTCTTATTTGTAATCTTCTAAGGAGGCTACTATACCTATATTTAGGGTGTGTTTGGTATGAAAGAGAACATTTTTACGGAATATGATTGCTAATTTTCTTATGTTTGGTTAGCTTAAATATTTTTTCTGAACTCATTTTACTTCCCTATAGAAATGAACAAGAACATTTTCTAAAACTCTTATCTTTCAACCTTTTTCACCCCCACCCCCCAATTCACACCCTCCTCACCCCAGNTTCTCTCCCCTCGCCCATGCCCTCACCATTTCATTTCCCATAATATTTGCCGAGACTATATATTTTCTATAAAAAAAATTGCTAACTAACCAAACGCCAAAAAATAAGTAAGAAAACTACTTATTTTTTATGAAAATATTTTCTATAATTTTTTTTTTCGAGGAAAACATTTTCCTTCCTACCACACCTTTGTGTCTTAAATATTCTATGCGGTTTCAGTTTAGACTTGGTCAATAGTAACTTGCTTGCACACACAACAACCAAATACGTAACGTCATGCATGGAATGGAATGATGATGCAGTTAGAGGTCAGAAGTAAACTTGGTCTGTTGAGTTTTGGAGATGATTATGTAGAGTTCAATGTCGTTGGCTAACTGTAATTGATTGGGAAGTTTCCTATGATTGAAGTGAACGTATTACTGCTTATATGTGTTACAATTCCTAAATTTTAGAGGAGGTACGTGTAATTCTTGACTATTCAACTTTCGAGCTTGTGGGTCAAATTTTCAATTCCTCTACTTCTGTCAATTCAACAGTCAATGTCTTCTGTTTCCCGATTGCAAGCCAGATTTAACAAACCACCAAATTCAAGAGCTGATATTGTTCTTCTCTGAATCTCCTCTGCCCTATTTGTTAGTCACAGTATTTGGAGCCAATAAAACGCAAAAAGAAAAAGAAAAGAGCACCGTCTTTGGTCTATGATCCTCTCTTTGAATGGCGTCTATATATCAGTGTATTTGATTGCTATTTTCCCAACCAACAAGAGTTGAAGGAAATCCCTCTCTGTTTTGCCCTTTTTATCATTAGCTCTCTATAATTGCTACCTTTTTCCATCCCTAATTCTAAGAAATAACAGAGGAGAAAAAACACATACCTAAGTTTTTTCCATATCACTACTACTTATCCATCATGCGACTTCCATCAGCCACCGCCTCTTCCTCATTCATGGCGGCACCACCCTCCTCATCCGATCTCATGCGCGTCAATCGCATCGGAAGCGGCTTCGGTAGTTCGGTGTACAAGGTCCATCACAGGCCCACCGGTGAACTTTACGCGCTCAAGGTGATCTCCTGTATCCACGAGGACTCCATTCGCCCCAAGATGTGCCGGGAGATCGAAATTCTCCTGGATGTAAATAACCCTAACGTCGTGAAATGTCACGACGTGCTTGATCACAATGGGGAAATCCAAATCCTTCTCGAGTACATGGATAACGGCTCTCTGGAAGGGATTCACATCCCTTACGAGCCCGTCCTTTCTGATTTTACCGGCCAGGTTCTTTCCGGACTCTTCTACCTTCACAGCCGCAATATTGTGCACAGAGATATCAAACCCTCCAACATGTTAATGAACTCTATGCGCGAAGTGAAGATCGCGGACTTCGGAATCTCGAGATTTTTGGAGCAAACCATGGATTTGTCTGTGGGAAGTATCAGTTACATGAGTCCCGAGAGAATCAACACGGACCTGAATACAGGCCAGCAGAATATATATCGATATGCTGAGGATATATGGGGTTTGGGATTAAGTATCCTGGAACTTTACTTGGGAAAGTTTCCATTTTCTGGTGGGAATTGGTGGAGTGTTATGACGGCCATTTGTACGTCGCAGCCGCCACAGGCGCCGTCTACTGCTTCTCCGGAGTTCCGGGACTTCATAGCTTGCTGTTTGCAAAGGGATCCTTCTAGAAGGTGGACGGCGGAGCAGTTGCTGCGCCATCCTTATATAACACAGTATGAACTGAAAGTAGAAACTGAGGATTGCCCCAGCTTATACGTTCATGAAATCTTATAGCGCTTTGTTAATTTTTTCCAACGGATGGCATCGTCTCTTGGATTTGTTTTATTTTTGGTAATGGCTTTGCTCCATTAGGTGATGATTGTAAAAGGATTAATTGCATGTGTAATAAAAGTTTCTCTAACCTTGTGATTAATGAAGAGAAGAGTTTTGAGTAGATTTAGTTGCACATTCAGAAGATAAAATAGTTAGTTGTGGGCAGTTTCTAGTAGGGACAGTTCCGTTCACTCTTAATCTTGGTGTAATTATATATGATTAATGAACTCCTCGGTTCTTTAATTTCCTTCAATGGGCTGGGGTTAATTGTAGTAAATATAAACTTTAATTCATTCCAGGATCTTGAACATTATGATAATCTTACATATAATCGTGAAAGAAAACATACCTGAATCGGAAGCCATTATCGTGAATCGGAATCGTTAATTGGTAAATTAGTTTCTACCTCCTAGCCCTAGCCTTACGTTACCACATCCGTCAATGATGAAATTGTATGTAGGAAAAGTGGTAACCTTAATGAGTGGAGGGATGACCAATATATGGAGATTTAGATATAATCTGGTACGTCCATCAAGTAGCCAATCAGACGGATGAGATTTGCTCATTAATTAAATACTTCATCCGTTCTAATTTATGTGAACATGTTTGACTGGGCACGGAGTTTAAGAAAAAATAAAGATTTTTGAATTTGTGGTCCTAAACAAGTCAAAAAGTATTTGTGTGGTTATAAAAGTTTCTCATTAAAGGTAGAATTGGAAGTTTAAGCTAAATTATTTCCAAATTTAGAAAGAAGTCATTCTTTTTGGAACGGATTAAAAAGAAAATATGTTTATATAAACTGGAATGGATAAAGTATTAATTATGGGTCTTAAACCTATTGGGCCACACACGTAGGAAAACTTATATTCTCCCATTTGGCACAATAATCACATAATATTAATATTTAATAATATAAATATTAGTTGCGCATAAACAAATCTCTTCTATAATGTCACGACCCAAAATCTCAATCTGTCGTGATGTCGCCTATTTCGATACTAGGCAAGTCGATAATCTCAATAAACCAAAACTTCTCTTTAAGGTTGAAAATATAATATTTAAATACAATACAAACACTCCCCAAAACCTGGTGTCACTAAGTACATGAACATCTAATATGAATACAAGTCTGAAAAATATAGTCTATAATAGTCTGAGACCAAATACAGTAAACAAAGAGATAGAGAAGGAGAGACAAGATCTGCGGAACACGACAGCTACCTCAAAATCTCCTGAAAAGCAACCGCGCGAAAGGATCAACACTCGCTATGTCCGGAAATACCTGGATCTGCACACGAAGTGCAAGGTGTAGTATGAGTATAACCAACTCAGAAAGTAACAATAATAAATAAGGAACTGAAGATAGTAACGAGCTACACGGTTTTGGTTCATTTCTAGTAATTCCAGCAAAGAATAGACATGCTATCAAATCTGGCAGTTTAATGTCAAATCAATTTTTATACAGTTTCTGTTCATGTAATCCGTATATCAACAATCTTTCACAGATTTCATAACAATGACATATAGCAACTAAGTGCAACAACAAATGGAAATCAAGTACAACCTCTTAGGACAACAATCACTCACTGGGCTCCCAACCCTCATCACTCCCTGGGCTCTCAGCCCTCATCACTCACTCTCAATGGGTACCTGCGCTCACTGGGGGTGTACAGACTCCGGAGGGGCTCCTACAGCCCAAGCGGTATAATCTGCACGGACAACTCACGTGCCATAATATAAATATCTGGATCCGCACAGCCAACTCACATGCTATAGTATAATATAAGGATCCGCAAGGCCAACTCACATGCTGCACGACCAACTCACGTGCTATAGTATAGTATAATATAAGGATCTGCACGGCCAACTCACGTGCTATGATATCAATATCTCACAATCAGGCCCTCGGCCTCTCTCAATCATAAATCTCTCCAGTATCTCGGGCTCTCATTAATAATGAAATCAGCCCAAACAACAATGATATGATGTATCAATAATAATAACAGAGACTGAGATAAAATATGCAAGTAAAAACTGAGACTGCGTACATATAGCATTTACCAGGCAATTCAACAAGTACGCGACCTCTGTGGGTCCCAACAGTACTATCACATAGCCTAAGCATGATTTCTAACATGATTTACAGTCAAATTTATATCAACACATAGAGAGCATATAGTTAACAACAAATTATTCAACTTTACAGTTTCTCGGGACGGACCAAGTCACAATCCCCTCGGTGCACGCCCACATGACCGTTAACTAGCATGTGCGTCACCTCCAAAATAATCACATGATACCAAAATCCGAGGTTTAATACCCTCATGACCAGATTTAAAACTGTTACTTACCTCAAAACATGAAACTCTTTACTCTGCTATGCCTTTGCCTCGCAAATCGGCATCTGAATGCCTCGATTCTAGTCACAAATAATTCGTTTCAGTCAATAAAATTTATTAGAATTAATTCCATAAGAAAATACTTATTTTTCATAAAAATCTGAAATTTAGCTCAAAAATCGCCCGTGAGGCCCATGTCTCGGAACCCGACAAAAGTTACAAAATCCGAAAGCCCATTCAACCACGAGTCTATCCATACCAATTTTACCAAAATCCGACCTCAACTCAACCCTCAAATCTACAAATCTTATTTCCAAATTCTAAGTTCCAATCTCTGATTTACACCTCAAAATCATGTAATCTAGTCGGATTATTCGATGATAATTTAATATTATGGAGTAGAAATGATCACAAGGGACTTACCTCAAGTTTTTCTTGAAAATATATCAAAACTCGCCTCCCCTCAAGCTCCAATTTGTCAAAAATGGCGAATGGGACGAAGTCCCTGTTTTTATAATTCTTCCCAGACAACCTCGGTCCTACCTCGATCTTGGCCTTCGATCGAGGTCCTCGATCCTGGCCCTCGATCCTAGGCCTTCGATCATGTCTTCGACCCTGCCTTCGACCCTGAGCCTCGACCCTGAGCTCGATCATGGCTTCGATCGTGGCCCTCGACCCTGGGCTCGATCATGGCTTCGATTATGGCCCTCGACCCTGGGCTCGATCTGGGCTCACATCTGGGCTCGATTTCTGGGCTCGATTCTGAGAAATTTCTAGGCGCGAATCTGGCAGAAGAAATTTCCAACAGAAGGATATTGCAGCAACTGTTGTAGTTCAATTTTTGATCTGTTAACCATCCGAAACTCACCCGAGGCCCTCGGGACTTCAACCAAATATACAAACAAGTCCTAAAACATCATACGAACTTAGTTGAATCCTCAAATCACCTCAAACAATGCTAAAACCATGAATTACGCCCCAATTCAACCCTATTGAACTTTGAAATTTTGAATTTCTACAAATAACGCGAAACCTATCAAATCACGTCCGATTGACCTCAAAGTTTTCACACAAGTCATAAATGACATAACATACCTATTAAAATTTTCAGAATCATATTTCGACCCCGATATCAAAAAGTCAACCCCTCGGTCAAACTTCCCAAAAATTTAACTTTCGGCATTTCAAGTCTAATTCCTCTACGGACCTCCAAAAATTCTTCCGGACACGCTCCTAAGTCTGAAATCACCATATGGAGCTATTGGAATTATCAGAATTCGAATCCGAGGTCGTTTACACATAGGTCCATATCCGGTCCACTTTTCTAACTTAATGTTTTTCAATTATGAGACTAAGTGTCTCATTTCACTCCGAATTCCTTCCGGACCCGAACCAACTAACCTGATAAGTCATAAATCAATAGCAAGGCATAAATTGAGAAGTAAATGGGGAAATTGGGTTATAATATTCAAAACGACCGGCCGGGTCATTACATTCTCCCCCTCTTAAACAAATGTTCGTCCTCGAACGGGTTTAGAATAATACCTGGAGTCTCAAATAAGTGTGGATATTTGTTCCGCATCTCCTGTTCCATCTCCCAAGTAGCTTCTCTGACGGGCTGGCCTCTCCACTGCACCTTCACTGATGCGATGTTCTTTGACCTTAGCTTTCGAACTTGCCGGTCTAAAATAGCCACCGGCTGCACATCATAAGTCAGATTACCGTCCAGCTGTACTGTACTGAAATCCAGAATGTGAGACGGATCCCCGACATACTTTCGGAGCATGGATACATGGAACACTGGATGAACAACTGATAGACTAGGTGGCAAAGCAAGTTCATAAGCCACCTCCCCAATTTTCTTAAGTATCTCAAAAGGCCCAATATACCGAGGGCTCAACTTGCCTCTTTTTCCTGAAACTCAACACACCCTTCATGGGTGAAATCTTGAGCAGAATCTTCTCCCCAACCATGTGAACAACATCACGAACCTTCCTGTCGGCATAACTCTTCTGTCTAGACTGTGCCGTGCGAAGCCGTTCCTGAATTACTTTGACCTTCTCTAAAGCATCCTGAACCAAGTCAGTACCCAATAGTCTAACCTCACCAGGCTCAAACCAACCCACCGGAGACCGACACCGTCTCCCATATAAAGCTTCATACGGAGCCATCTGAATGCTTGACTGGTAGCTATTATTGTAAGCAAACTCTGCGAGTGGCAGAAATTGATCCCAAGAACCCCCAAAATTAATGACACAAGCGCGTAGCATATCCTCCAATATCTGAATAGTGTGCTCGGACTGTCCGTCCGTCTGAGGGTGAAATGTTGTACTCAACTGAACCTGTGTGCCCAATTCTCGCTGAACTGCCCTCCAAAACTGTGAGGTAAACTGCGTACCCCGATCTGAAATAATGGACACCGACACACCGTGTAGGCGAACAATCTCGCGAATATAAATCCCAGCCAACCGCTCCGAAGAATAATTAGTACCGACCGGAATAAAATGCATAGATTTAGTCAACCAATCTACTATCACCCAAACAACATCAAACTTTCTCAAAGTCCGTGGGAGTCTAACTACGAAGTCCATGGTAATACGCTCCCACTTTCACTTCGGAATTTCAAGTCTCTGTAGCAATCTGCCCGGTCTCTGGTGCTCGTACTTTACCTATTGACAATTTAAACACCGAGATACAAACCCAACTATATCTTTCTTCATCCGCCTCCACCAATCGTGCTGTTTCAAATCCTTATTCATCTTTGCGACGCCTGGATGAATAGAGTACTGTGAACTGTGAGTTTCTTGGAGAATCAGCTCACGCAAACCATCTACAT